GGTCGTGACCTGGGGCCCAGGTAGGGGCCTCTCAGAGCATGAGGTCAGCAGGTTCTCGAGCGCTTCCCTCCCCCTTCTTTAAGTACAGGATCATCAAATTAGAGCCCAAACCCCGATGGCGACCACATGAAAAGCAAATGGGGCCCGCTGCCGCCTGGAAGGCTCAGGCAGTGTCGGGTGCCGCCTGGGGTCACAGGACCGGAGGTGGGGCGGGGCCTTCAGGGCGCAACGGCAGCCCCCGGCGAGAGACTCCGTCCTGGGGGATGCCAGGTGCGGCCCCGCCACCCCGAGGCCACCCAGGTCACGGTCAGCCCCGATGATGCCAAAGATGGTCCTGGGGCTTCTACGTCCACAGTCCCCTGCCGCTTACCTGGCGTCTGGGCGTGGTCCTCAGAACCCACATAAAGTGTGCAAGGCGCAGCCCTTTCGGGCCCCCCAGGCCGCCCCCAGGGACGTGTCTCTCTCGCTGCCCAGGCTGGCTCAGGCGACATGGGGGCTCCGAGCTGGGTGAGTGGACAGGCCATCACCCCTTCTGCCCTGTTCCCGCGCAGCCGCAGACACTGGAAGGCTGAGAAACCCCCAGGCCGGACAAGGCGCTCTTCACAACCCACCTCCTGAATGGGGGGGCCGGCTTCCAGACGGCCGCACAGCTGTCTTCAGCCGTGAAGTTCTATCTTTTAAATGTCTGGCCCGGGCCCCCAGGGGACACCCCCGGGCACCCAGTCACCCAGAAGCTGCCCGCAGCCTCCGTCTCTAGTGAGCGACCCAGCCTGCCCTTGTCTTTTCCTCGGCTGTCTCCATTCAGACCCTTGCGCACCCCGAAGCAGACCTGTCTGGCCCAGGAGCTGCGCCCCTGAACGTTGGCTGCTGAACTAGCTGCTTTGTTCATTCAGCAAATTTGTTTGATGTGGGGGTTCCTGCTGATGACTGAGGCGAGATGAGAAAGAGACAGAATCTAAACATAAGAGTGGAAAGCCCTAATGAGCTCCTCCGCGCAGGTATTGTTCTGGACACTTGGGGCATTTACTCTCCGCAGGTCGGCTGAGGTGTGAGGCAAATGCCATACTCCCCTTTTATAGATTTAGTGCACCGGGTCACAGGAGCTCAGTCACTTGCTCAAGGTCAGTCAAGGTCGGAGCGTCAACCTACACTGCCTGTCTCTGGACTTCTGTTTGTCTCTGCGAAAATACGAAGTTAAACACAGGGGAGAGCCCGTGTGACACAGCGCTGAAGCCGAGGTCTGAGGGACCAGGCGCCAGGGCCTCAAGCTCTGAGCCGGGACAGCCGGGGGGGGGG